GCTGATGAGTACACCTACAGTCCACCCTAGCAGCTCCATGACTCACTGAAGGCACTGCCGCCTCACCTTCTTGGGCTACCAAACCCATCATAGCACTTGGAATCACCAGCTCACTCCCACTCCAGCCTCTTTCCTGCCCTCACCTCCTGCCCCTCCTCTGGTTTTACTTAAGACACCAGGTAAGAGTAGTTTCCTAAGGCCCCAAAGCTCTCACTTGGTCATGGTTCCAGTTTCTCAGCTCTATCTGTATCAGCGGTGCCAACCCACCTGGGTACTTTCTAGCTTGTCAGCATCTATATAGGGCTGGAGGGCATAAGTTTGTTTTCATAAGACCTAACATAGAGGATCCTTAAGTCAAAGCTTAACAAATATTTGTGGGCTGGATACATTTGCCAGATCTGGGGTTTGCAGGGATTTGCATTTCTTTTGCACAAGCCCTTCAATAAGACCGAGGGCCCCACTCTTGCTGAGGAATGGAGAGAGAAGCCTTGGTGCCCACACAGCCCTCCCTGACTCCACCTCTCTGCTGCCGCCTCAGCCCACGGGCAATTCTTCCAAATTTCCCAGGAGGCTACCTGGTTCTTGTCCAGCTCACAGTTCTTGTACTCCTGCTCGCCCTGCTCCTGGAAGGTGACAATGACGAAACCCACGAAGATGTTCATCATGAAGAAGGCAATGATGATGATGTAGATGATGAAGAAGATGGAGATCTCCACGCGGTAGTTGTAGATAGGGCCCTTGTCTTCTGTGTGGGAGTCAATGGAGCGGTACAGCAGCCTGCAGGAGGAGACAGGCCCAATAGAGGGCGCTGGAGGAGCAATGGCACCACTGGAGCGATGGCACTGCTGCCCTGCATGTCTCTGGGATGGGGGTGCAGGCTCTAGGCCTTGTGACCTTGAGCAAAGCGCTCAATCTCTCCAAGACTCAGATTGTTCTTCTGTAAGAGGGAGACCATAATACCTGACTTTCCTTCCTTGCAGGGTAGTTGATATGACGTATAGGAGGGTGTTCTGACACTGTCAAAAGCCATTTAAATGTAACATAAGTCATGGACATTGATTTCAAATACTGAAAATATTGGTAAATATTGAAACAGCTTTGCAAACTGACATGGACTCAGAGGATGTTTGAGGGAACATAAAATAAATCTGTCTGAGAGCAAATATCCAGGTAGATAAAAGTACTGATGTGACACAAGCTTGTTCAGGTCATCAGCAGTGGTTTGTTTTGCACTTAAGCGGTTTACAAACGCATGCCATTTGCTTGGGTCTGGGCTGTGCTCCACGAGGCCTGCTGCTCTCCATGGTCGGGGATTACCTCCTCCCTCCCTTGTCACCCTGCACATATTTGGTGATTCTCTAGATATCAACCACATTTTACCCTATGATAATGGTGACTCTCATCTAAGATCCATGCTCTATTGTTGACTAAGAAATACTTATGGACTTTTCTGATTTTCACATTGTAATTTCACTGGAATGCATATGGCAGGAAAAGCGGGTGTCCATGCAAAGATATATGGAGCACCTGATGGATTGCTGCTGGGCAGAGGTATCAGTGTGCAGGGTCCACAGGCAGGTCTGGGCATGAGTACATGACCTCTGCAAAGGGGCTGGGGCTTACTTCCCACTGTAACTATAGGCAAGGCTTTCTCGAAGGAGCCAGGGTAGAGACTAACATTAACAGAGACAGCTCAGTTGTCTTCATCTGTACTGAGTGCATGTTTGGACTGGTCCTCTCAAATCCCATGGTGGTCAAAGGGTCCACACTGAAAAAACTCTCCCTGTGCCCCATTCCCGGGTGCCACTGAGGGAAGACCCGACATCGTGGCTCTTGCTGAGGTTAAAAAGAGAGCTTAAAAAAAAGCTGTGTATTTGTGGGAGTTTCTAAACTGGCTGGGCACAGCGGCTCATGCCAGTAATCCTAGCACATTGGGAGGCTGAGGCAAGAGAATTCCTTAAGGCCAGGAATTTGAGACCAGCCTGAACAACACCTTGTTTCTATAAGGAAAAAAAATTATCTGGGCAAAGTGACACAAGCCTATAGTCCTAGCTACTTGAGAGGCTGAGGCAGGAGGATCACTGGAGCCCAGGCTGTTGCAACACTCTCGTCTGGGTGACAGAGCAAGACCTTGTCTCAAAAAATAAAATAAAAAATGGAACAAAATGGTAACAACTTCAGCAGTGATGGTGGCCTGCAGGTGGTTTTAGAAATAGCCCCTCATTGACTGGGGAGGATATGGGTAAGTAGAACTATGAGAAAGAGGGTGGGATAGTGACAGATATTGATACAACTTGAGGATGGGCTAGAGGACCACAGTGCTGGGCCTCTGATGTCAGGGGACGAGGCTGTGGTCTGCACACTCACTCTGGCCACCCCTCGAAGGTCGAGACTGTGAAGAGGGCCATCATGGCCGTCAGGACATTGTCGAAGTCGAACTTGCTGTTCTCCCAGCTTCGGGTCTGGATGATAGGGTGGTCAACCTCCCCGTCCTTGTATGTGATGTAGTTACCCCTGAGAGGAGGAGAAGAAGTTAGTCCTGGGCTCCTCCATCTCTCTGCACTCTTGCCCCACTTGTTGTCCCACCCACATGCTGCTGAGAGGAGACTGGCCAGGTTTGAGCCTCAGAGTGCTAGCCATTTGGAAGACCCTCAGTGGGCAGAACCTTCAGGAACAGAAAATGTTACATGTCCTGTCAACAAGAGCAGATGACAAATGGGTGAAAGCCCCAGTGCCACTGTGGTCTGAGAAAGAATGAGCTTTCCCGACCTCCCAGGATCAGCCAGCCAGGGCACTGGCTGTCCTCCCACCTCAACTCACTTGCATTCTGCCTGGGTCTGCTTGGAACTGTCTGAGCAGGTGTAGAGCTTCCCCTGGAAGGCAGAAGAACAAAGTGTTTAGAGATGTTCATTAATCAATCAGTCAATCAAAAAGTAATTCCTGAGCATCTCTACAGCCTGGCACAGTGCAAGGGACTGCCGGCTGCAGTGCAGAGTCCAGATGGGAAGGATGTGACTCACGCAGAGGGAGCAGTAGCACACATAGGGGCTTAGGGCTGCAAGTGCCATTGAGATGTAGAAACGGAGAGCTCCAAACCACGGAGGCTGGACTCTCTAGGAAGGCCTCGTGAGGAAGGGAGAGGCAGAGCAGGGGTCAGAGAGATGAGCTAGATGAGGACACCGGTGGATATTTATATGGTAGGCTGGGAGGAGGGCTGGGGAAGAATGCTTTAGGTGGGTCTTAACCTCAGAAACCTTAACTGCTTAAGGCAGAAAAGAGCAGCACCCAGAGGGTGCACTGGCCTGCTTGCACTGGGGCCTCAGTAGGAGCAGAGGAGCTGGCTTAGGTAGGCACTGGGACTGGGCTGCGCAGGGGACATGGGAGGCTGCTCATAATAAGTGACCACTGCAGGTTTTCAGCAAGTGACCCACACAGAGGTTCCAGAGGGTGAAAGTCCCTCTCCTTGCTAGAGGGAAGGATAGGCAAAGTACAGGGGTGAGGAGATTTCTGCTTAGAGGGCCAGGCCCCCTTCCAGTTGTGCCCTCTTTTGGTCAGGGAGCTTGAGTCGGGCCATGCACGGAGGGCACATCCATGCCCAGTCTGACCCACTACTGCCCTCTCTGTGTTGCACCCGCCAGTCCCCTTCCTGGGAATTTTGGTAGGAGGGGAAGGCAGGAGGGCCACACGTCAGAGCCAATGCCATTACCTTGAAGAGCTGGACCCCAATGCAGGCAAACATGAACTGCAGCAGAGTAGTGACGATCACAATGTTCCCGATGGTGCGGATGGCGACAAACACGCACTGAACCACATGCTGCAGGAGAAAGGAGGTGGGGAATGTGGGGATGAGGTTTCAGGAGACTGCTGCAGCCTGAGCTCCTTCAGCCAAGCCTCGAGCTCTCCAGGGAGGTAGCACCGCAGCCCTTTGCTGCCAGTGAGAGAAGTCAGGCCAGAAGGCAAAGCAACCTTCCCAGAGGAAGCCATAGGCCTTGAAGCCACAAAGTCCCCACTGGACTAGGTGACTGCAAGGACAAGAGCCTGTCAACTTTCCATTTTATCATCGGGAGTGCATTACCACCTGGGAAACTGGGTTCATGTGGGGATCCTCCCTTTGAGTTTCACTTAGGAACCAAGTGTCAAATGGTTGCCTCTGCAATTATTGTGTTCATTATGGGACCAGCCATGGAGACTGACCATCACCCCCTTCCAGCCCAGCCCTCACCTCCGCTGCGCCCCGCTAACCAACAGGCTGGAAGATGCCGGCATCTTACCTTTAGCCCCTTGGCCCTATTGATGGCCCTCAGGGGCCTGAGCACTCGCAGAACTCGCAAGATCTTCACGACATTGATGGCACTGGACCTGGGAGGGAGAGACAGGGCAGGGTAGTAAACATCTCCTGTTTCTGGTGGAGCAGGAGGACAATGTGCTGAGGTGGGTCCTGACAGGTGACTCCAGGCACACCTGAGAAGAGGTAAAGTCTGTTTTGGGGACCTTCCTATTCTGGGACCATTCTCTACTCCTGTCCCACCCCGTAAGAACCTGCAGCTTGCCTATGACCCTGCTTGTGAGTAAATAACATGAAAAGCAATTCACCATGAGTCATTAGCAACCTAATATGCTACTTATGGGAGCATCTGTAGTGTCAAAGAAAGGAGACTCAGCAAGGCAACCTGAATTCAGACCCCAGCATTGCCACCTGCTGGCCAAGTCACCAAGGACAAATTTCCTCCTAGCTTCTGAGCCTTAGTTTCTCCATTTGTAAAATGGGGCAGTAATCAGCTCAGAAGGTGGCTGCAAGGATTGAGTGAGAATTTTGTGTGAATCACTTAGCTGTCTCTGTACCTGGCACATATTAGGAACAGAATAAATGGAAGCTTTTATTCTCATGCCTGCTGAAGATATCATTGTACTTAAACACTGCACTAACAGGGGCTTGTCAGGCTTTGTGACTAGAGGTGGTGAGTATGGGGAGGAGACTTTTTGGTGCTCATCTCCATTATATCTGTATGCAGAATCTACTCTGGCTCATAGTACATTCCAGACTCCAAGAAAGAATGGTCTCTGCATCACAGGCTCCACATACCTGGGAGGCCAAGGCCAGGCTAGAGCTTCTGGGAGCCTCAGGTGACTGCTACTCCCCAGGAGAATAGGAGCAACGGGGAAAGGCCTGCCACAGGCCCCTTGGCAGGATGTAGGGATGGTTTGTGGAGTTAAACATGCATCCCAAATGGGGCATATTAACCACCTAGGTTGGTGAGCAACTCTGAAGTACATTCCATGTGCTCACTCATTAAGATATCCTCCTGAGCATCTAGACAGTCTTAATAGCTATTATTTGACCTGAAGAAGGTTTGCCACACCAGTAAGCCCTGATCTCACTCTGCATGGGCACAGCGACTTGCTCAAGAAGAAGCTTGTAGGAAGATGTAATTTCACTCGTGCACGCTCTTTCATTCCGAAAGACTCAAGGGGCACATGTATCTAGCACTGTGTCCCTTCCCATGCTGGGAGGGCCTCAGGTTGCCTTAAATAACACAGAAGTGATTTAAAGGTCAGGTGGGGAAAACATAAGTTCAAGAGAAGGAATTCCTGGTTCAAGGTTAAATAATGGTTTAGCAGTGGCAATCGGATTAGAATCTAGGTCTGTAGACCCTCAGGAGAAAAATCTGGAGTAATACAATTGATGATCACAGAGAAGGGTCTCTCTCTCTCTCTCAAGGCTCCTCCCCACATGATTTCACTGATCAAGAAAGCCCCCTTGGGAAGAGAGGTCCAGGAACCCAGGGACCTATGTCTTTCTCTGCCGTCAGTGTGACCTTGAGTAGGTCTCATCATACTCTGAACCTCAAATTTCCCATCTATAAAATGATGTTAACAATACTTGCCCTATCTACTCCACAGTCTGTGTTTTGTGAGGCCCATGGAAGAAGGTGTGTGGGAAAGTGCTCTGGAAGTTGAAGTGCAGGATTAGCATTATCAGCTTTTAGAACTTGGTAGAAACTAGTAATCAGATGCTTTTAAACCTGCACCCTCGGCTGTATAGGGAAATCACCTAGAAAGCTTTTATCACTTCTAAAGCCCAGACTGTATCCCAGACCAATTAAGTCAAAAACTCTGGGAGTGGAAGCCAAGAAAATATCTTTTTTTTTTTTTAAAGCTACCCAGGTGATTTATTTCACTGTGTAGCCAAGATTGAGAACAAGTAATCTCTCCCACACAGGAAGTGCTTTAACTGGAGAGAGAAATGAGAGGGCAGGGGAAAGTGGACCAGGAGGTCAGGGCAGACCATGGCCATAGCAATAGCAGGCTCTTGTCTGCTCGCTGAAGGGCAGGCAAGGGCACACAATGAGGAGGCAGGAAGGTGTTGGTGACACCCGTTTCTGAATAACATGGCAAAGCCCATGTATTTAAATATATCACTGCTGGGTCAACATGCCCCAGGTGTCACAGCATCGAGAACATCTTTTACAAGAAGTCAAAGCCACCGTGTGGTACAACCTCAGAGGCCCAGACACATTCCCTCACTGTGGTGGCCCTGTAGGGTTGGGTTGTCCTCTCTGACACTCATTGCTAGCTACAACCCCCCCCCCATCTTTGGCTGAGAGAACCCTACTCACTGGATGCCAAAGGAGATGAGGGACACGCTGACCACCAGCAGGTCCAGGATGTTGAAGTAGTTCCGGCAGAAAGAGCCCTTGTGCAGGAACGCCCCATAGGCAGTCATCTGGGGGAGGCACAGAGAAGCCTGAGTGTGAGTGGCCCCTGCCCAGCTCCAGAGACCCACTCATGTCACCCTTCCCTCCCACAGCATCCCTTGGGTAGGCCCCAAGTACTGTTCTGGGGGAACAGGAAGGACCAGAGAAGGAGATGCCATGCCAAGCAACGGTTCTGCAGCCATTCACGCACCACCAAAGGACCCCAGCTCAGGATGCATAAGTGGCTCCTTCCACCCCCAGACCATGCCAGACTCTTCAACCCCATATTAAAGCCCTTTCAGATGGGTGTCTGCCACCCCTAACTGTCCACTGCTCCTCATCACAAGTCCATGCTCCAGACCTGTGGGCCCTTTGCTGATGCCAGGCTAGGATTCCCTTCTGTGCATCCTTCCCAACCTCTTCTCCAAATTCTCTTGTCCTCTGGCCAGCTGAGAGCACTAGGCATCTGCAGGAGGTGGGGCCATGCCCAGCAGGGTGTCCAACCACTGAAAGTCTCCTTATTTTAGACAAACTGGGTGCTTTCAGTTTTTCAACCATCAGCTAGTCCCTTGGTAGAGGGCCTAACAACAACTCTGGCAATTGGCAACCCTAACCCTCCACTTCCCAGCCTCAAGGGATGTTTATGATCTATGCCAAATATTTGGACTGCATCTGGGGCCCTTTAAGGGCAAGGGCTGTGTGTTCAGAAGAGGGGTGTGGGTACAGTGGCTAAGTGCACCAGCTCTGGAGCCAGACAGCTTGTGTTGGAACCCAAACTCTATCATATTTTATTTGAGTGACCTTGAGCAAGATATTTAACTATTCTGTGTTCAGTTCCTCATCTGAAAATGAGGATAACAACCATATCTGCCCTATAGGGTTGCGAGCATATGGTCATATGCAGACACTTAGAACACTACACTGCGGATAGTAAGCTCCATGTCAGTGCTGGCTGTCACTGTGGCTTGGATTTGAATTCTGGGCTCTTCCTGTATGAGGCAAGTTCTGTTTCCTCATCTATAAAGTGGGGAGGGAAGGCTCATCCAGAAAAATGACACAAAAGTCCTTTGAAAACTTTAAAAACGAGAACACATGAGATTACGGTCATTGTCACAAGACCTGACTGTGATTACCTCCCTCAGAGCCTGTTACAAAGCTGTGCGCTGTGGGTGCTCAGCCAATACCCTTTTCCAGTTTGCTGACTTTAGTAGGGGCCAGTGGACACCCAGGATGAGGGTGTGAGAGGCCAGGATGGTTGAGAGACTGAGAGTGGCTCCCTGGTCATCTGGGGTTCAGTTTATCTCTTTGGAATCAGAGCATGTCCAGGGCAGTGTGTCCGCAGAGCCATTCAAAACCAAACACAGGAAGAAATGGGCAAAAATAGCTCTTACAACCTAATTCTTTCCATTTATCTCTTATGGCAGGGGGTCCCCGGGGACTCATGCACCTGTGCTCTGCAAAAGTTTTTAAAAGTAGGTACATAATACAAAAAGTTGCAGGGGAATACAGCTCCCCTGCTCTCAGAGAAGACCTGGGAACCCGAGACTGGACTTGGGTGGTCCACAGCTCATGTTAACCATAGAGTTCTCTGTTCCTACAAAAGGTCTAGCACCTTCTCCAGCCACCTCATTGTCAGTCTTAGGGACTTGCTCTTGGCTTGGATCTTCTGAGACCACTGATGGGTCCCAATAGAGCCTATGCTTATGGGGGAAAGTGTGGTTGGAAGGCTAAACCAATGGGGCGCAGAGTGCCACTCTCTGTCTTCTGGCATTGAGCTCCTGTTTTGTCTAGAGGCCCTAGAATGAGACCAGCACTTCAGAAAGTGCATGTGGGTTGGGGACAGGCACCCAGGCAGGAACAGAGGAATAAAGGCCATGGGAGAAGGGAGAAGTGGAGAAAATCATCTATGGCCTTTAGGACATCAGAAAAAGCCAGGCTCAGGTACTCAGGGCAAAGTGTCCTTCATTTATCCTCTTTTGCTGATTGCCACTCCTAGTTATGGATTCCTAAATTCTAAGCCTATTGCTGGGCTATTTCCATCCTGAGAAGAGGACAGGAATGGGGCATGGGCTCATTAGCTCCCTCAGCTGGGAGGGCAGGGAACCCCTCTGTCCAGCCTTGAGCAGCCTCACCTTTCTAGGCAGCTCTTCTAGTCATTAAAAGTATCTCATCTTTTGTAATTTCCATTCATTGGTCCTGATTCTGTCTCCTCCCTCTTCTATGCGACCATCCCTTGCATTATTCAGGCCAAATACTGTGGTCCTACAGGACTTTTCTTTTTAGGGCCCAACACCCCCAGGTCCTTCCTGTTCCTTGGGCTAAATGGACCTCTCGGACGGCCACTGTTGTCTGTGCCACGGCACAAGCTGGGCCTTCAGGCCACGAAGAGGGCCCGTGGGAAGGAGGTGCAGGGATGCACCACGGCTGGGTTTGTACTCAGAAGCACAGGGAGTGCAGAAGAGAAAAGATGGAGGGGTGGGATACAGGGAGGGAAGGACTTTGCCATGACAACACTGGCAGAGACCTTGTACTTCTGCTTGTATGGCAATCTGGAAGGAGAAAAAGCACCATTGAAATCCACAAGGGGAGCTCTGTGGAAAGGTTCTGAGGATTGGGCCTCCTTGGCTGTCTGTGTGCCTCCCTGTGGCTGATGTTCAGGAATCAAAACAGGTCACCATGGAAAAGGGGTCTCACTGCAGGGCATTTAGTGCAGCCACACAACTCTTGGTTCCTGCTCCCCATCTCCAGGAATCGGGGCCTCGTCAGATCTACCCTCCCTGAGGAGAAGAGGGAAATCTGAGCCATATAGTCTTGGTATATATAGCTGGACCCAGGAATGGAGGCTAAGGGTCTGGGCAACTGAGCTTCCTGGGACAAGGACACAGTGGAAGGCACACTGAAACTGTCCCACTCAGTTGGTGTCTAGATGTGGCCAAGCTGCCACAAAAAAGGGCTGGCCATAACATTTGTTGGAGTCTCACTGGCTGGCACAAGGTCAGGTGTGGGTATTGGCCTGCATCAGACATGGTAATGGGATGATGAGGGAACTGAACTCCTTGCGAGCGGAGCGCCAGGCCAGCCTCCTGCGAAGGAGGCTCAAAGACTGAAGCATGGCTTGAGAGCCTTAACCCTTTTGTCTGGGGTGATGGTGAAATCTACTCCTTTACCTGAGGTCTCAGAACTCACAATTTGAATGTCATGAACTGGTTTGGTAATGGTGTGAGGCTCAGAATTACACTGGAAAACTCAGAAGTACTCTCTCTCATCCCAAGATTGCTCAGAAGTAGGCTCTACCTGCTTTGAGGGTAGCAATGTCACAGCCGGTCCCTAACCAGAGCCGAGCGGCAGGTGGGGCCAGGCCTGGGTGCTTAGTCCTCTCAGCTCAGGCTCTGCCCCACTGTACCCTGCTCCCCAGTACCACTTCCCTCCCTCATGCCTCAGGCAAGAGGCACAGGGACGAAGCCGTTCAGTCTTAGAAGTGGTCTACCGCTGCCTGCTGAAAGCCCTCAGCTGGGAGCCTGGCTCTAGCCCTTGCATTAGGCCCACGATCACTGTCACACAGCCCCCACCCCAGCTCAGACCTGATGTATGCTGCAAAGCCCTGAGGGAGGTACTGAGGATGGGTATCCACAGAGTGGAGCCAAAGCCATTCTGTCCTGCCCCAGGGGTTTTCTCCTTCCTGAGGACATGTGGCATTTCCTTGGGGCAGGGGGGGAAGAAGAGTTCGACATGGGGGCCCATGTCAGTTAACCAGAGCTGGTGTGTGCAGGTGTGTGTGTTATGCACAGCTGCAGGACCAAACCAGTGACGTGACAGCATCAGTGTCGGCACAGCCAGCTGCCCATCCCTTCTAGGCCACAGAACGCTCAGTGATGGCGAGGGGTGGGGGCAAGGACTGTGGTGGGGTGGGCAGCTTCTGGCTTCTAAGCCTGGCTGCCAAAGTACACAGCACAAAGTGAGGGGCTCTAATTCTTCCAATTTCAGGCTTGGGAGTAAAAAAAAGAAAGAATGAAAGAAACAGGAGAAACGACACAGCCAGACAGAGCAGAGATAAAGAAAGAAACAGAGAGGATGCATTGCCCAGGGTGCATTACCTTAAGGATAATTTCTAACGTAAAGATACTAGTGAAGACATAGTCTGCATTGCCTAGGATCTGAAAAATAAGCATAATTGGATTAGTGGCTCTGAGAGTGAAGCCGACACCAACAGGAGCATGTGTGTTAGCAGCAGAGGGCGGCAGAGAGCTGGTGCTGGCGGGGAAAGGCGTAGGGGGAGAGGGGACTTTACCTTCAGAGCAATTTCAATGGTGAAAATGGTGGTAAAAACAATATCAAAATAAAACAGAATCTGTAAAACAAAAAGGAACAGGGCAGGGATGGGGCGGGGAGGGAGAGAAGCAGAGTGGGAGGGAAGGTCAGTGGATGTTCACTAGGAAGGGAGCCACGCTTTGAGGTGAGATGCACGACCCGCGAGCTTCTCCACACAGACACAGATGGAAACGGGGCGGGGGCGAGCAGCACACACACACACAGCAGCAGAGGGGAGCAGGCTAGCTTCGGGCGTCTTAGCTGCCCACACAGTCCCCCAGTGAGTGAGGGGGGGCTTCCAGACCAGGCTCAGCTGGTACTGGGTCTGGGCAGCCTCTGGTCGGATGCTTATCTCATTAATCCAACTTACTTATAAACTCAAATCAGAGCACTGGGATACTTGTCAGAAGAGCAGGGAATGGGGCTGTTGTTTTTACAGGGAGATTTAAAATGCTTAACTCGCATCAGTGTGACCAAGCTAGGCAGCTTCTGATGTTGGGAGAAATCTCAATTGGGCCTGTGTTCATTGGACATGGAAGGAGCATTGGCTAGGTGAGGTCTGCCCAGGCTGAGGACTGGCTCCAATTTCCTGCCTTATTACATCTCAAACAATGGACCAGGGATTGGGCCAGTGCCCACTAGGCCTGGTAAGGCACCTCTGGACTGAGAAGGCTCTAGGACCACCAGCAGCTGGCCTGGGTGCAGCTTCCCAGGTTTTAAGTTACTGCAATTAGGTTTTAAGTTACTGCAATTCTTAAACTAGCCTTTAATGTTGTTCACCAGAGCCTTGGGTGGGTCTTCCAATTTGGTTTTGCTCTACCAAAGACACCATGCCTCTTATTAATATAAGTTTTGTGATTGGCACCTATTTGCCAATGCTCCCCTTGTGGTCAGAGTACGCTGGGAGCAGGGCAGCAGGTTGGTGGCCATGCTTCTGAGTTTATGGGGAACTAGAGCTCCCCTGGGCAGCATCCACAGGGCAATGAAAGTCCTGAGTGTTGCCAACTATCAAACCAGCCTGAGGCATCTGTGGCCTAAGCAGTCTTGTGGTCCTCAGATGGGTTTCTATCAAAGCCCTGTCCCTTAAAGAAATGTTTATGGTGCATCTGGTGATGAGATTTGGAATAGGGCTCCTGATGGGGCAATGACATCAGCAGCAGAAGCTGAGGGCCCAGGAAGGGTGCAGACAACGACAGGCTGTGCATACGTGGTTCCTGAAGGAGGTGTGCTGGACAGGGTCCTCAGCAGCCAGGGAAATGCTGCTGAGCAGAATGAAGAAGAGGATCAGGTTGGTGAAGATCGTGTCATTGACGATGCGGTGGCACTGGAGGCGGAACCTGCATGGGAAGGGAGCGAGCAGGAGACAGATGTCAGGAAAGACAAGGGAGGCAGATGCTGGCTCCCAGAAGCCTTTCCCCCCAGCTCCTCCTGTCCGCTTGCCAAAGGTGCTTGTAGGTTTGGGGCATGGCCCTTAAGCCTGGAGTCTGAGAGCTGCCAGGTAATGACAACCCCACCCACCAACCCACCTGATGCACATCTCTCCAGAGCTGGGCTCCAGAGCACTTTCAGGGACAGACATCTTTGACATTTGGAGGGTTACATCTAAGGCTGCTGGGAGGCTCTGAATTTCCAAATACTGCTGTGATGTTAACAACTGGCTTTTTGGGGGGGCCTTGTTTTCCCTATTATTGAAAAAACTCACTTTATGAAATTCACTTCCCTCTTCATGCACAGGGAACAACAGAGCTACCTGCAGATGTGCATGCTGAGAGGACAGCTCAGGCTGCTGTCTGGCCAGGTGATCTGCTCCTGTGCCACAGCTTAGGCGTAGTTCAATTTCACACCTCAGCACAGACAGAAAGAACTACTGATGTGGGCCACTGGGTACCCACTGATAGCCCTGCAAATGTTAGCCCCTCCAATATACCAAGGTACCTTATATACCATCTTGACAATAGTAGAGGGAGGAAAATATGGCTGCTGTTAACATCTTCCTCTTACAGACAAAGACACTGGAACCCAGGAAGGAGGGGCTTGTCTAAGACCTGAGCCTGCAGTGTGGGCAGTCAGAGTGTAAACCTGGGCCCCAGACTTCTCTCCTGGCATAATAGTTGATTAAATGCTCTGAGACATCCTCCTGCAGAAGCACCAAACTTTATAAAGGACAGACTCTCTGAGAAGATTCTAGTTTCATGAGAATTAGGAGAGGTCTGCAAGGATCATCCCCTTCAAACCAACAAACCCACCCACCCACCTGCCCACCCACTGAGCTGAGGTCTGGATAAATGCAGCTTGTGGGCAGAATTGTCCAAGGGCAGGTGCTGTCAGGAAACTACATTTCAGGCTAGTCTTGAGGTGGAGCAGGGGAGCCTGGGACTCACAGGCTGAGCTAACACCCCCAAGAGGCATCCAGAGACCTCTCAATCCTACTTCAGTTTCTCAGGACCCTCACCAATGAAGATGAAGCATTGAGGTCAAAATCAAACACCATTAAACACACCAGAGGACAAGCCACCGAGATGGGAACTCAGATCTCCAAAGACTGCGGATATTGAAAATACTAGACACAGAAGATAAAACAACTATATTTGAAAGATTTGATAAAATAAAAGACTCAAAAACATAGAGGACGAATCATCACAAACTATTATTAGATGTAGACAGAGGGAGCTGAAAAATCAAGCCACAAATAGAGATGATTGGAATGAAAAACTGTAATGGTCAAGATAAAAATAACAAATTAAACAGTAACATAGATAAAGCTAAAAAGAGAACTAAGAAACTAGAAGATACATATGAGGAAATTGCTCAGAATGCTGAGAGACAGGAGGTGAAAGATATGCATGGTATCTGAAGAGGGGGGAGGGCAGAATGAGAAGGGCTAGCTGTGGATATCACCTGGGGAGGAATTGAGAATTTAGGAGAGGCAATACTTACAGATAAAGGCTACAAATTTCCAAGAGCTGAAGAAAAATACAAATCCACAGATCTAGGAAGCATAACATATTCTAAGCAAAATAAATGGAAATAAATCCATGCCTCAACACATGGCAGTGAATCTGCACAAGGCCAAAGGCAACAGAAGTTGTTAAAAGCAGCTATACGTAGAGGTTAAGTTACTTGCAAAGGACTAACAGTTGGAATGACAGCTGACCTTACAGGGAAATGATTATCTTTAATGTGCTGGGGGACAGAAACTGTCAATCTAAAATTGCATACACAGCAAAACTATCTTTCAAGAACAAGAAATGAAAACAATTACAGATCAGTAAAGGGCAAGTGAATTTACCATAAAGCAACACGAGGAACTTGTAAAGAATATACTTAAGGAAGAAAGAAAATGTTTGCAGAAGTATAGAGCAAGATGCATAAAAAATGGTAAGTTGTAAGTAAATCCAAATACACATTATATATACATGATGATCATGATGATGATAACGACTAACTCATTCAGTTAACGATAAAGGTCAGGATGAAAGTACTAATCAACGGCATCATGTAACTCAAGAAGAAATGAGTGAGTTAAGATAGTCTAAGGTCTGCAGAGGCTGGCGTGGATGTGGAGAGAAGGGAACACTTTTACACTGCTGGTGGGACTGCAAACTAATACAACCTTTTAGAAGGAAGTATGGAGAACCCTCAAAGAACTCTAGCTAGACCTCCCATTTGATCCTGCAATCCCATTACTGGGCATCTATCCAGAAGGAAATAATCCTTTTATCATAAGAACACTTGCATTAGACTGTTTATTGCAGCTCAATTTACAATCGCCAAAATGTGGAAACAGCTTAAATGCCCACCAACCCAGGAATGGATTAACAAGCTGTGGTATATGTATACCATAGAATACTATTCAGCCATTAAAAAAATGGAGACTTTACAGCCTTTGTATACCTGGATGTTAAGTGGAACACATTATTCTTAGTAAAGCATCACAAGAATGGAGAAGCATGAATCCTATGTACTCAATTTTGATATGAGGACAATTAATGACATGGTGGGGGTAGGGGAGGGGGAGAGTAGAGAGAGGGAAGGAGAGAGGGGGGAGGGGTCTTGGTGTGTGCCACACCTTTTGGGGGCAAGACACGATTGTAAGAGAGACTTTATCTAACAAATGCAATCAGTGAAACCTGGTTTCTAGTACCCTCAATGAATCCACAGCAATAAATTAAAAAAAAAAAAAAGATAGTCTAAGGTCCTTCTGTTGCACAGGAGGTTTACGATATTGTTTACTTCACATTTTGTTAAGCTAAACAGACTTAGCAATTTATCAAGGTTCATCATCAAAAGAATAGAAATAGAGCTTACATGTTTTAGGAAGTAAAGAGAAAAATAAACAGATTTTCTGATTCAGAATCCAGGATTCTTTTCCCTAAATGAGTGCCTGTTTATATAAGCTTCAGGGAGCTGGGAGAGTCCCAGGCTGCAGCCAGAGGTTCAGGTAAAATACAGGCTCTTGCTGGGGCTGTATCACAGAGAGAGCAGAGTCCCTCCATCCCCACCATTTCTGCCCACCTGTTGTTGGGACTGAAGATGAAAAACGCACTGGCTTCTGGCATGGGGACTGCCTTCTCCTTCAGGTGCAGCTCAGAGAGTGGTCGTGGGCGGGGGCCGACAGGCATCTCTGGCTCCTCCTCATCCTCTTCTGTAAGAAGAACAGCACTGTTAAATAACTCCACCACGCCCACCTAATTTTACCACTGTGCCACCTACTTGCAGAGACATTCCCACTGGCAGGAATCAAGACATCACTGTGTCTGAAAATGTAGGGCACCAACCAAGACAGACCTTCTGCTCTGCCCACCGTGGGTGCTCCAGGAGCCCATCTCCATTAGAAAAAGTCTCCTCTGGCTCGGCAGCTAAGGCACCAGCCACATACACCTGAGCTGGCAAATGTCAGCCCCAACAATGACAGCTGCAACCAAAAAATAGCCGGGTGTTGTGGTGGGCGCCTGTAGTCCCAGCCACTCGAGAGGCGGAGGCGGGAGAATCGCTTAGGCCCAGGAGTTGGAAGCTGCTGTGAGCTGTGATGTCACAGCACTCTACCCAGGCTGACAGCTTGAAGCTCTGTCTTAAAAAAAAAAAAAAAGAAAGAAAGAAAAGCAAAAGTCTCCTCTGGCAGTCCATAGAAGGTGGATTGTAAGTACAGTCACCAACTTTTCCTGATCCTAGTTTTAAAACTGAAATGTGCACATCCCAGAGAACATCCCAGTCCTGGAAGACTGGGATGGTTGGTTATCCTACTTGGAGGGCACTAGCAAAGGTGACCAGGTAAGGCCAGGGCACTGTCAGGTGTTACTCATCTATCAAGGCTGTGGGTGGGGGAAAGGGCGTGTTAGTGAGCTTGTGAAGTCCCTTGAAAATAACCCCATCCTTGGAAGTTCCAGGAATTAAAAAACCAATATGTTCCCAATTTCTAAAACTACAGATTGAAACCATGTGCTGTAGAGATGACAGGACAATACTGCTTAGATGCTAATAGCGATTAAAGAAGTTCCTTTGTGCTCCTGGCCACAAGTCAAACAGCTTATTCCTGTTCCTGCAAGCGCAGTGCCCATGGGAGGAACCACTGCACGTCCTGTTCTGGCCAAATGCATTTAATAATGTTCAGAGGAGGAAAGGTGACAGCACAGGAGTTATAAGCATGGACTCTCCAGCCAGATGTCTCTGTCCAAGTCTTGGTTCTGGTTTTTCCTGGCTATGGGCATTTTATTTAATCTCTCTGTGCCTCAGTTTCTCCTTCTAAAGTGGACTAATAATAACAGTACCTACCTGTCACATAGGGACTGCTATGTCAGTGTGGGTGGCTTCTATTTCTATCCTAGGCATTGTGGTGGGCGTTAGTCTGTGTAAGACAGACTAAGCCCAACATCTTTCTCCGTCTGACCCTCACCTGCTATCGTCCCCTAACAACTGCCCACTTGCATCAAACTATCTGAACACTCATCGTGGGGGGCTGAAAAGCATCCCTCCAAACTTGTGCTCATTTAGAATGTAACCTTACTTGGAATTAGGTTCTTTACAGATGTACTTAGTCATAATGAAGTTGTAATGAATCTAATGACCGTTGTCCTTGTGAGGAGAGACTAAGGGATACACAAGCACGTGTAGGGAAGCGGCCAGGCGGAGACAGCGGCAGAGATTGCAGCCATATAGACACAGGCTAAAGACTGCAGCAACCACAGAAGTTGGGAAGAGGCAAGCGAGGATTCCTCCCTAGAGCCTTCCAGGAGGACAGCCCTGCTGATAGCTTGATTTTGGACTTCCAGCCTACAGAACTGTGAGAGAATACATTTCTGTTGTTTTAAGCCGCCGGTGTGTGTGATTTGTTCCAGCAGCACAGGGAAGCTAATGAGCTCACCCTGTCCTTGCCTCCTGCTCTCTCTCCCCCTGCCCGGGCTACTCTGCACTTCCCTCTCTGCAGAGCTGGCAAGGTCCCCCTATCAGGGCAGCTTTGTCCACCCAGCTTTCCTGAGTACCTGGGCTCCAGGGAATGACCTTCTTGGGAATTCCAGCCTCCAGTGCCATGGATGCCTGATTTTAAGTGTATCTGTCCCCCTCTCTATGTGCTTAAACCCTGGAGGGAGAAACCACGCCAGCACATAGGAGCCCTCATTTCTTGGTGATGATTAAACTTCCACATCCTTCATAAGGAAGGGGATTTTGCAAAAGATGAGGGTCAGGTGGAGTCTGTTGCAGAAAGACAGTTACAGGAAGCTCATCCTATGGACCCAGCCAGGCCTCTCCAGGCCCTCTTTCCTCTTGTTAAAAGGAAGCCAGGTGGTGCAGGGCGGAGCTGTCTGGCATGGAAACCAGATCTTCATCAAGCACCAAGCATTTAGGGACCCAAGCTCCTCTGGGGACAGGCAGAATGTGGGCATCAATCACATCCTTTCCCTAGGGCAATTAGGGCTGACCAGTAAGGCAATTAATGTTCTCCACAGAATAGAGGCACAGATGAAGAGCTGTGTGCAGGCCAAGAGTTAGAGCTCTTTTGGAACTCACCCTTTGCAATGTTAAAGAGAAATCTACTTAAAATAGAATAAGTAAAACCAGAGTTGGCCTAAATCACGACGTAAGTGAAATTTAATTGAGAAGGAACTTAAATTTCTGGCTAGGTGTTTGTTTCCTTCTCAGTTTTGCTCTAAAGGACCCAACCCTCTCTTATTCATGGCAATTTTATAACACGTAAGTCTGTGGTTATTTTAATTATCTATGTGTAGAGAACACCCCATTTACTAGACTTGCGCTATTCTAAGCTCCTGGTGAAAGATGCTGCCTATTCTTTCACCTGCACTGTCCTGCCGCTCTGTGTAGGGAGTTCTCCCCAATTTCCTTTCCTGGGGAGAAGCCAGTTAGCTGGTCCTCTAAGGCACACACCAACTGAATCTCAGGCATAATGCTGAAGAGACAATTATTGCTGAAGGACAAATACATTGATAAAGGGATAGAAATTTGATAGCATGTGAGGCTCTGCATGCATTATGGGTAGAAAGGGGGCTGACAGATCAGAAAGCTGGGGTAGAGCTCATGTGGGGGTGGGCAGTGGAACCACCGGACTTCCACTCCCAATGCCAGTAGAACCCTTAGGGGTCTTTATTTTCTTATTTCTGTTCTTGGAGGTTTGGAAACAGCATGGGAGGTGAAGTGGTGCTGCACTTTGGAGTTGCTGCTGCTTTTTGGCCGGGCAGGTCAGAGTATTCAAAAGCAAAACCACCCTAGAGCTCTGCCCCACTCCCCACCCACCCAGTGCTTGGCGACTCTTGCCCCTTCCCAGTTGATGTCACTCTCACCTCTGTGATTTTGCTCAGGGTCAATTAAAATAAAAATGTTATTTGCAAACATCTAATGTCTGCAGAACCCCGAGCCCAAGGTTGAGAACTCAAAGCGCTTAGTGTTTCTAGCGAGGTGCACCAGTCCGCTAGCAGCTGAAAGAGGAGGCTTGAGGGGAGGGCTGGACACCCAGGGTTCGGCTGCAGTGAGCAGGTCGGGGATGCAGTTTATGTACTGGGGATGTGCTTCTCGATTGCTCAGTAAGAAAACCTCAAGGCCACCCTACATCTCCCCACTCTCCCAGCATCCACTCCATCGGCCTTACCTATGAAGTGAATCATCTCAAGCCCGACCACTTCTCTGCATCTCCAGAACCATGGCCCCAGTTGCCATGGTTTCTGCCTGGACACTGCACAGGTCTCCCCACCATCCCATGCCTTTTGCTCTCATGATAGCTAGAGGAAGTCTTTGAAGTGGTTAGTTGGGCATCAGATGGCGGCTCTCTACGCACTGGACCAGATCCAGTCTGTGCTGGGGTCTCCAAGGCCCTGCCCCTTTGGCCCTGCCCAGCTTCCCAGCACTGTGCCTCAGTTCTCTCTGCTGCAGGCACAGAGACCCTCCTCAGACTCTAACACCCCTCTTGGCTCTCCTTGTCCTTGGACCCTGGGCAGCCATCAAAGCCTCCCCCAGAACAGTTGGTACTGTGTTATTCACTGTCTGGTATCATTTTTTTTAATGTGTACTTGTTAACTTTAAGTCCTTGGTGGCTCTAACGAACAAGTGAATACGCATGCAAATCAATTAATAAATTAAATAAAAGTAGAATTGGCTTCCACTTCTCTGGGCACCATTCATTTCTTCCTGGTGAGCTGAGGTTTCTCTCTGCTTCAAGGGTGTACTAGTCTGAAAGCCTAAACTATCTATGAGTGTCTGAGATTAAACAGAGAGGGAAGGACTCTAGGGCTGGCCCCCTTGTGAGAATTAGAGACAGGCTTCTCTTCTGGGTGTTGTGGTCACTCTGGGGCCAGCAGAGTGCAGGCTGGTGTCCACAATTCCACACACCTTTGGGAGCAACGTGGATAGAAAACACAGCCACCCCGCAGGGAGGGCAGACGAGGTGAACATGGCCACACGTTCCCTGGCATCAGCCCTTTTCTCTCTTGAGGACATGAGCTGGAGGAATGCTCACCAGTGCTGCCCACCAAGGGGCATCTGTGTGAACCAGGTGCAGGAGCTCAGCCCCAAAGGGGCAGGGGTCAGGAGGACAATGGTAGATCAGGCGGAGGAGAAGCAGAAACAGGAGACTGCCAGGTGCAGATGACAGCCAAGTGCCCTTCTGCTGTATTTAGCATTAAAGCATCCAGGAGATGACTTTAGGAGCAAGCAGGGGAGGGACGGACAGGGACAACAGGGAGACACAATGTAGCCTCCAGGGCTGGGGAATGTGTGGAGTCACCAGCTTTAAAAGGATAGTGTCCTGGGGCCTCCTGGGTGAGAAAAAGGAAACTGGGGATGGTGAGCAAATGGGGGCCATGGGGGTGGCTTCAAAGGCCTGAGTCAGGGGTGGCAAGAGCCTCAATCAGCCACAGACCAGAGGTTTCAAGCCAAAGGTAAAAAGATGCATGGGACCAAGGAGAACAAGGTCACGTCTGGAGGAGGCCAGAGAATCCAGGAAAGGGAAGAGCTTTTGAAGTGGAAAGCACCAGCATCCCAGGACTCCACAGAACCACTGGGCAGCTGCGTGCTGGGCCAACAGGGAGGCTTTTCTAAGATGGCTGACATGGTGACAATATCATCATTAGTCCTTTTTCCCCTGACATTCTGTTTGATTTCATTAGTGCAACAAAGAATAGAAAGTATATCACTTAAAGAATAATACAATTGGAGACTCCTGTTGTAGATGCAAGAGGTTGTATCTGCCCAATGGCCATGCAGAATAAACAGGTGTGGGCCTGGCTGCAGCTGGGTGCACGAGTGTGTGGGAATCTCAGATCCAGATCCTTCCTGCTGTGTGCAGGGAGGAGGCCATCTGGGGACCTGGCCTGTGTGGGATGGACTCTTTGCAATATCCAGAATGGTCTGTTTTATTAAACTTAAAATCTACACAGGAGTAGAGATATTCCTACAGCAAACCTCCATAAACCAGCTTTGACAACCTTTTTTTTTTTGTTGAAATAAGGTTTTACTCTGTGGACCCAACTCAAGCAGTCCTCCTGCCTCAGACTCCTCAGTAGTTGGGACTATAGGCACCTGCTACCACACAGTTAATTTTTCTAATTTTTGTAGAGATGGGTTCTCACTCTTGCTCAGGCTAGTGACAAACTTCTGGCCTCAAGCGATCCTCCTGCTGTGGCCTCCCAGAGTGCTAGGATTACAGGCGTGAGCCACTATGTCTGGCTGACAACTTTTGATATTTTGCTGATCTTGTTTCATTTATCTTCTCTGCCCTCATTATTTTGCTGTGGTTGAAGTACTTCAAAAGCAACTTCTAAACATTTTAGACTCCATCCAGAAACATGTCAGCTTTTAAAAACAGAACTACAAAAATATTATGCCAATTAGATTAGCACAAATTACCTAAAATCATTTAGTTCCCATTTATATTCAATTTTCTTCAATTACCTTGAAAATATCATTTTAAAGTTTATTTGTTCATTCAGGATCAAGACGGCATCTTCCCATGGAACTTCCTTAATATTTCTAATAAGTCTTTGACATTCTGTAAGTTTCCCCCCACCAAGAAGAGTCTTTAAGACTTTAATAGGCTTAGTGCCCCTCTCATGGAAACACCCTTCCTGCTCTTTCCATCCCCACCCCAGGAAACCACACCCGATTTCCCCTGTAGGAAGAGGGAGGCGAGGATGGTTCCACAGAGAGGCTGCTTCCCACAGACAGCAGAAGATGCCCATTAGTGTCCTTGCAGATCCAGCAGAGAGTCAGTGGAGGGAAAGTGAAGGCATGGTGGTTCTCAGCCGCCTAACTTGGTAACCAACCCCAATATAGCCTAACCTCCATGGAGAAGGGCGCTCAGTAAAATCAACAGCCCCTCCACAGCATGTTATTGACTTCAAGCCTGAAGCTGGTGATCATATCTGCAATTCTAGGTCAGAAGAGGCAAGCCCAGGGCTTGTACAGGGCATGGGATTTCAGGAAGCAAGGGAAGTGACTCTTGGAGGGAGGACCTTTGACATTAAAACCCTCTAAAAGGAGACTGCCTGCCAATTTACGTATCGGACAGACGCACAAGCCCTAGTTGGTGGGTTAGAGCTCTTTTATAAAAAGTCCTGAAAGCATTTTCTAAAGCAACAAGTGGGACATCTGTGTCGGCAGCTGTCCCTGCACTTGGTACTGCCTCCTGAGCAGGGGCAAGGCAGACTTGGGATTTGCTGTTATTGCTAAGTGGGCATAATGCCGCAACATATGCTGAACTAATACATTATATAAGTTAATAATGATTTCACATGCGATATAATAAAACCTTAAATGTGTACAGAATCCAGCTTGCAAAGGTTGTAAAAGTACTGCTCAAATGTGAGTTCACCCAGATGGAAACTGGCAATGCTTAAATGTAGAGATAGAAGACATTTCCCAGTGCAAGGAACTTGTCAAGGGACACTGGAGCCACCTGTCCCTAATATATGCTACTCCCATAGGGCTCTATAATTCAGATCGCCACCTCCCACCTCCCAATCTCAGTGTTAGGCAAGAGGACTGGTACCTGCAGTTTCCGGGTTGGGATAGGGACTCTTATCCTCATTTTCATTGGGCTGGAGGTCGTCCATGTTAATCTGGGCAGCCAAGGGGGGAGAAGGAGGAAGAATCCATTTAGGTACGTTCCACAGTTTTAGAGGACAGGAGAAGCCTCCACCAGTCTGCCCTCCCTGCACCTGCACCCCCAGGGACTTCTTCTCCATGGGGGGCTGGCCTGGGAAGGCTGAGCCTCCCTCCCTCTGGCCTGGCTCCCACAGCTCCTGGAGGGTGGGGCTCCTCACCTTGGTGGTGGGTGGAGACTCTCCATCAGCTGTAATTGATTTCAGCTCAATCTTTTCTTCCTTGGCTTCCTCCACAACTGGTTTCTCCACCACCTCTTGTTTCTTCTCTGGGCTGGCAGTCCTGGCCGGTCAGCAGGAGAAAAGCATAAATAGTGTTCATGGGAGTGATGGGGAACAGGGGACACCGCTGTGTGGTCTGCTGGGGGCAGAGTCCCTGAGTCTGTGTCCCTCTTCCCTTCCCTGAGGCACGGCATGTGCAGCTCAGTCAAGGTGGCAGGGCCTGCCCCTTCTCTGTCTGCACTCAGCCTCTTCCAGCTTCTCAGCTGCCACAGGCCTAAATCAGAGAAGAGTGATGGGTCCCATCTAGGACTGGCTCCTGGAGGAACCTGCTAAGTACCCAGGAGATGCAAGGACTAGGACTATCCTGTCTGGACAATGATGGGGTATAACGCAGGGCCCGGGCTGGCCTTCTCAGCACTGAAGATGATTTACAGCAGCAAGGAGGCATCGCTCCACAAGCTGGGCTGTGCTTCTTCTCTGAGCTGCTGCCTTCTCCTCCCTCCAATCTGCTCTCCCCTCACCCATGGCATCTTGTCTCAAAAGAAAACCCTTCAACTTCCTACACAGGTGGGGAGTACAACACCTAGAGAGCCATGCACAGGAATCGGGAGAGAGGCCCAACCTGCTGGGAGAGCCTCCAGGGGCCAATGCCCAAGCCTCTCTCACCATTAGCAGGAACAATAGTCCAGAACCAGGACCCTGGAGCTCTGGGCCGTGCAAGCTTAGAGGGTTACCTGGCCAGCTTTTTCCTTTCCTTCTCTTCTTCCTCCTCCTTTTGGGCAGATGTGAGGCTCTCAGCATCAGCCAGGTTGTCCACAGCAATGGCCAAGAACACATTTAGTAGGATATCTGTTTGTGTCCATTCTTAAAGAAAATGACCCTTGGCCTTGGGGTTTTGGTGGGGACAGGGGCAGGGAGGGTGTGGGACAGGCAGATAGAGCTCCCCTGCAGGAGGAGCTCAGAGATGGCCACCTGGAGGGGCCCAGGGTATCCTTTGCTTTCCCCATCCCCCTCCTAGCTACCTGGAGTGCTCTGAAGGGCTAAGACAGGCTAGTTGCCACGCTGGAGTGGGCGGGTATGAGGTGGCAAGCCCTGCCTCAATCTCTAATTGCTGAGTTTCATTACTGGTGTCCCTGCTGAGATGGCTGGCTGTAATTGACATTATAAACAGCATTGTCTCTCGCAGGATGCAGAATACTCTTAAGAGCAGCTCATTATAACTAGGTGCCAAAGAGGCGGTCTGCTATCTCTTCCAACTCAACGTGAGCCTGCACATACAAGGATCCAAGGGTCTGGCTGGAGCCAGCCAGAGCTTGGGAATTTCTCACTTAAAGAGTCATTTGCCTGTTTCTCCCCGCTCTGCTTCCTCCTCCCCATCAACATAAACATGTGGGACAGGGAACCACAGAATCAAAGAAAGCACAGGGGTCTTCAAGTTTGTTAAGTCAGCCTCCACCCTAGGCTCCCAGACACTCATACCATTCCATACAGAGGGCTTGCCCAAGGACGCTCTGAGCACTTCACCCTGGGGCCTGCTGTGGAAGGGGCTCTGCATGCCTTATCCCCAAAGGCCCCTTAAGTGGTGGGTACTGTTGTACTATTTCTGCATTTCACAGATACTGAACCAAAAACCTTCCCATTTGTAGGAGGGCACCTGGCTGGTAACAGGTGAGGTACAGTCTGTACGCTCCAGTGATGGTGTTTTCTGCACCACCTGAAGCTGGGACTTAAGCTATTCTCAGCCCAGAGCTGCTCCTATTCCACCACTGGCTCTGGGTGAAACTCTCATGGGTTGTGAGCAGAGACACTGGAAGTCCACCGTGGCCTGGATCAGGAAGGTCTGTCCAGCTCTGCCTGTGACTAGTGTCCCGGGGGCAGCATCAGAGAGAGGGGTTCCAACCAAAAAGCAGGGAGGAGAGTCCAAGGTCATTTGGAGCCTGCCACTCATCCTCCTCCCTGGAGCATCCAGCCTCTGAGTGAGGCACGGTCTGGGGCAGCAGGGAGCCCACTCCGGTGCGTCCCTGTTATAGTCTATGTGAGCGGCTGCACAAGCCACAACGCCAGGGGGCGTCGCTCACCTAGATTACGACGAGAAGTTCAGGAAGGTGGACGTCACCCACGGCTCCACCCAGACCCGTCTCTATGCCAGGGTTCTAGGCTGGGCACTGTTCCTCCCGGATGACCTTGCCCAGGCTTGCAGGGGGCCTGGGGCGGGCAGTGCAGGGCAGCCTCAGTGGGACCTGGGGTACCACAGGGCACTGTGCTGCAGGTAGGGGTGGAGCAGCAGGGGTGGGGGCAGCGGCAAAGGATACAATTTCCACAGATGAAGAGGATGATGAAGTAAATACAGACTAACATCCCTGGAAAAGAGGGGCCGCCATAAGCCATGATCCCATCATACATCACCGAATTCCAGTCCTCCCCGGTCAGGATCTGAATGACACATTCCCACCAATAAGGGACACAGCGTTAGACCAACAGCAAACCCCCAAAACCACCCTGCCCTGCCCACTAAGTTCACAAAAATGTCCAGAATCTCTCTTTTGCTTCTTTCCCTCCTCCTGGCCCCCAATTCTGCTCCCCAGGGGCTCTGAGCTATTGACCTGGGTGTGTTTGAGCTTGTCCTTAGGTAGAAAGGCATGGCCACTGTCATGGTATTGTTTGAGGGGACTCAAGGGTCTGCTGTCCCCACATGGGTGAGTGGCCATGTCAGCCCTTTCCTGGGGGTGGGGAGGCACAGGCTACGAATTTGCTTGCCGACACAGAGATGTGCACACAGTCTCAGCCTCCTCCAAACATCAGTCATGGGCACCATCTTGAAGATTTTGGCAACAATAACATATTGCCCATTTTTATCTATAAAGAACCTACTTTTCTGGCTTTAAACTTAAATATATGCTACTTTAACTTTGCCCTAAGCCAAACTATCTATGAAATCCCAAATTTGACGGGCTAAATTATTTTTCCTGGTGCAAACATAGTGGGTGGGAAAGACAGAGCGTCGTGACTCTGACCCTCAGTGCATCGGCTTGGCTCTGTTAATATTTTAGGCTTTCATGGAGAGTTTATTTGACCAAAGGGTTCCATGACTAAGAAAGCATTTGAATGGTCAGACTTTCCCCCCCGATGATCCACCCACCAGTGGGATTCCATGGGGCATAGGGTTGGGAAGCTACAGAAAGAAGGCCGGACTTTCCTGGGTGGGGCCCCTCCAGGGCTGACCTCAGCTGGCTTTGGCTGCCCAGTGAAGGGTACAGCTGCCCGCCCCCTCCCACACCTCCCCCTGCACACCCTCCCTCTGGTCTGAGTCCCAGCACAGAAGAGTCCATACCTGAAACACAGTGAGGAGGGACTGGGGGAAGTTGTCAAAGGTGCTCCTGCGTGTCTGCATCTCATCAAAGTTGAACTTTCCCCCAAACAGCTGCATCCCCAGGAGGGAGAAGATGATGATGAAGAGGAAGAGGAGAAGGAGGAGGGAGGCGATGGAGCGCACGGAGTTGAGCAAGGACGCCACCAGGTTGCTCAAGGAGTTCCAGTACCTGCAAGCCAAGGGCAGAGGTCAGCACCCTTCCCTGGGCCTTCCCTCCCCGTGCCCATTCTCTTGCCCACTGGCCCACTACAGGTACTGGGGTGGATTTTCCACACCCCACTGCCTTTCTCTCTCCCAGGGAGTGGAGTGGGTTCTTGTAAGGGCATGAATTGGGCTGGTGAACTCACTCAAGGTCCCAGAATCAGCACTATGGCATGAGGAAAGGAGGGGCAGTGGTCAGAAGCCAGAGTGCACACCTTGCTCTGCGAGCTGCTGGCTGCATGTGTTTTTAAACAAGTCACTTAACTGCCCTTCTCTCTGCATCCTTGTCTGTAAGATGGAGATCACAGTGGTACATGCTTCCTTAGGTTAGTGGGAGGATTACACGAGATAATCTCACCTGCCCAAGACCCCCAGCATAGTGCTTGGAGCACAGCTGATAAAGGTTAGTAACTATTCTTGTCACTTTTGGTCTTCAAATAGGAAAAAAAAACTTTTTATTTTAAAAAATGCCAGTCTGACTTCAACCCAAGCAGCAGCTGTCCTACAGAGGCATGAATTAGGTCACCCATGGGACAGGGAGTGTTTTAGTTTGGTGAAGTTTCCCTAATTTATCCTTTCCGAGAACTGGTTTTTAAAAGACCTTTTCTCTGGACATTCTGATTTAGTAGCTATAGTTTTGGGGTTTTAACAAGAAGCAAACCCCTTTGCTTGGGAAACTGGGAGGGGCAGGACACCTGGGCAGGGCCTGTTCAGGATCTGAGATGCACTGTGGGGAAGAAGATGTGGCCCCAGATGGGAGCAAGAGCCAGGACAGGGACCCTTCCTTCTCTGCAACCCCCACTGGTCCGCCTGCCCAGGTCACTGTCATGGGGGAGCACCATGGATCGCTTCAGCTGCGCTAGTGAGCGACACGCGAGCCACCCTCTTCATGGTCACGTGTCTCTCCAGCAGAAGGGTATGTATCAAGTGACAGAGGCAGCTGGGTAGCAGCGTGGATGTCCACATGACCTTTTCCCAGCCTGGGCCTTTTATGACCCTTTCCCCTTCACAGCCCAGCCTTGCCCCACCTCTGTTTTGCCTGTCAGCCACACCCCCTGTGTTTGATGATTATTAGTATACATTTATTTTTATCTGTTCTGTAAATGCTCTTAAGTGTATTTCATTTGTGAAATTAGGCTTTACGTTATAGACGGCAGAGCCCAGAGGTGTCCCCTCCCCCTCTATCTTCCCCATCTTTGTCCTCAAATAAACTATCTGACCCAGTCCGTGTGCCAGGCTGTCTGCATCCCCTGCAGCCCCGGGGATGAGAGGTTGTAGGGCTATCCCTGGGCGTACAGCATCCTCCCCTTTTCCATGTAAAGCAGTTTCTTTTTTTTGTTGTTGCAGTTTGGTCAGGGCCGGGTTTGAACCCGCCACCCTCAGTATATGGGGCCGGTGCCCTACTCGCTGAGCCACAGGTGCCACCCAGCCGTTTCTCAAGTCTGCCTGGGTCCAACACCAGCTGGGGAGTTTTATCAATTTCTAAATCCTGATGCCCAGGTCCCCTCCCCAGAACCATGCAGTCCTAGTCTCTGGGCTGGGCCCAGTGACCCTCACACAGCTGGCGGCTGACATTTGCCCATTAACTGGGAGTTGGGAACCTCTAACTTAGAGTATATCTTGAGAAAGAATATCCATCTGTGTTTGAGGGGAGAGTATCTGCGTAGTCACTGAAGTCATAGATCTCCCTAGAGATCTCTGTGTGCTCAGCTGTCATGGAATGTTCTGGAAAAGTCTTTATGGCCATGAAAGGTTGGAGTCTTCATTTTCATGAGGTAAACATCCATGAGGGACCTAACTCAAATCAGACTGATAACTGGGATTCAGGTATGTCTGGCAGCTCTGGGGATCCCAGCAGGACCCAGAAAAGGAGGCCCTGACTCTGGAAAATTACCATAAGTGGGGCAAAGTCTGGCAGAGTGGAGCAGGTGAGGGGGCAGAAATAGAAGGTGAGGTGGGAAAGCCATCTTTTGACAGAGGAGCCCCAGGTGCCTGGGGTTTCAGAGAAGAGAGAGGTATGGTAGATGACCAATCAAGCCATCCCACAGAGGACAGAACTCTGGAAAGGCTGTCCATGGAACTACACTGTGACAGCCTGTTGTTGAGGGGTGGCCTGTGGGGTTGAGCATGTGACTAAAGGGCCTCCCCAGCCCCAGGGGTATCTGGGCAAGTCTGGGCTTCTCTTAGTCAACCAAGAGGCAGCTTATAGCGTCCAGAGTGTGGTGTGACAGAACCCCTGTCTCCCACCCAGCACTTTGCCCATCTCAGCCAGCAAGAACCATAGATTATGGCTTAAGCCCAAATCCTCAGGGCAATCTCTCTCTCACACCCCACATCAGCAAATCCTGTGGCTCCATCTTCAAACAAATCTGAACCTGGCCACTCCCCCCCACCTCCATCACCTGGCCCAAGCCGCTGGCCTGTCTCACTCTCAGTGGCTGCCCTGCCTGGACCCTGGCTGCCTAGAAGCTGCCCTCCACCCTGCAGGAGGAGGTCCTGCTACCATGGGAGCCATACCAGGCCTCCAGCTCTTCAGTCCCTGCCGTCCTCCTCAGAGAAGAAGCCTGAATCTTCAAGGAGGCCTGGCAGAGCTGCGGAACCCAGCCCCACTGCCTCCATGCTCCCTCCCCCATCCTTGTGGGCTTTCAAAGCTCTCTGGCCAGCCGCTATCAGCTCTGTCTGCAGGCCCTCCCTTGAACACCATGGACATTGGCCCCTTCAGGACTTGGCCTACACAATGCCTGGTCAGGGGCAGGGGGACCTCCCTGACCACCATTTTTTTCCCTTTCCCTACTTTTTCCTGTTACTTGTCATCACCTGACAGATATTTGTTTATCGTCGGTTTCCCTCACCAGAATGTATGGGCCATAGGAGAGGGAATCATCAGGGGTCCTTAAACTTTTTAAACAGGGGGCCAGTTCACTGTCCCTCAGACCGTTGGAGGGCCGGACTGTGGGCCCTGGGACGAGTCGGCTGCTAAGCAGGCAAGCAGAAAATCTTGTTGACTGAAGAAATGCACCTTATTATAAGTGTGACAAAGCTGTGCTGACTAGAGGGAGCAGCAAGGAGCCACGGAGCTGCATAGATGCTTCTGTGTGTGCACGTGTGTGTTGTGAGGTGGGGCAGGGATACAGTGGTGAGGGGCCCCCTCCTGCATGCACCCAGTCAAACATACTTTGCCA